CTGATTAGCCAATGGGAAGCGTGTCGGAGGTACGGTTAATTACCATGTTTGTCTATTATTAGATAGGATTTTTTCTTTGCCTTGAACAATTAAACCTTCTGGAATCCATTGAGATTTTCACATGATGAAGTTCACTGTTTTGACTAATCTGGGAGAAAGGGCTATTCTGATAACAACTGTATTTTTTAAAAATCTTTATTGTTCAAAGTATTATGTAAGTCTCCTTTTTCCCCCACTGACCTCTCCCTGGCAGCCCCCAACCCCCAGCACATGCCCTCACCACCCTACTTTCTGTGTCCATTGGTTAGGCTTATATGCCTGTATTTTTAAAATGTATTCTTTAATTATGGTTGATATGCAGTATTAATTAGTTCAGGTTTACAACATAGTGATCAGACATTCATATACCTTAGGAAGTGATCACATATAACCTATTTGATACCATACATAGATATTACAATATTATTAACTACATTGTACTTTAAATCCCCATGACTATTTGGTAACTGACAATCGTGTTTCTTAATCTCTTCCACCTTTTTTACCCAATCCCAAACCTCCTCTTATCTGGTGATCAACAATTGTTCTCTGTGTCTATGAGTTAGCTTCTGTTTTATTTATTTATTTATTTATTTATTTATTTAGTAGGTTCCATATTAGTGAAACCATGTGGTATTTGCCTTTTGCTGTCTGATGAATTTTACATAGCATTATACCCTTTAGGTCCATCCAAGTTGCTACAAGTGGTAATATTTCATTTTTGTGGCTGAGTAATATTCCATTGTTTATGTGTACTACTTTTTTTTAATCCTTTCATCTATTGATGGCAATTTAGGTTGCTTTCATATTTTGACTATGATAAATAGTCAGTGAACATAGGGATACATATATCTTTTTGAATTAGTGTTTTGGATTTCTTTGGATTAATACCCAGAAGTGGAATTGCTGTGTCATGTGATAGTTCTATTTTTAATTTTTTGAGGAGCCTCCAAACTGTTTTCCATAGTGGCTGCATCAATTTACAATCCTATCAACAATGCACGAGGTTCCTTTTCTCCACATTTTCCACAAAACTTGATTTTGATTTATTAATGATAGCCATTCTGACAGGTGTGAGATAATATCTCACTGTGGCTTTAATTTGCATTCCTCTGATGATTAGTGACTTTGAGCATCTTTTTTATATGTCTATTGAACATATCTGTC